AAAAGATTTTATCCATTGTACTACTAAAAATGTAATTTATTTATTAGAATGCCTATGTGGACTTCAATACGTGGGCATGACCACTAGAGAATTAAAAATCAGATTGGCAGAACACTGCCGTAATATCCGAAAAGGCTATGAAAACCATTCAATATCCAAACACTTTTTAATACATGATAAAAATCCCAAACTTTTAAAATGTATAGGTATAGATACTTGCAATATTCCTTGGAAAGGAGGAGATATAAAAACGATTTTAGGTAGTAAAGAAATGGAATGGACATTCAGTTTAAAAACTCTTAACCCACAAGGTCTTAACATAGACTTTGACCTTTTTAACTTTTTATGATTTTATTAATTATTAATAATATTTATATCCATTTTATTTATATAATTTTATTCTTTTACATATATATATATTTTCTTCCTTCAGATAGATTTTTAAATAAAATTTCGCTCTTAATGCATTATCACTTTTATTATATATAAAAAAAACTATACACACATCTTTTAACAGAAATATTCTTTTATTTTTTATTTTTTATTATAAATACATATATTTTATACAAAACATTATTCTTAAACATAATTTTTAAGTGTCTTGTCTATAGTTAATAGGTAGCTATGGTTCAAATTATATACCCCTATGTATTATGGCAATGTTTTTATGTGTGTGAGAACTTGTGGCCAGGCTGCCCTTTTTTGTGAGCATGGTGTCTGTCCGCTTGTCTGAGCGGACAGCATGCTGCACCTACGATCACCAGAGGGTCTCTCCCCTCTGGTAACGTGGTGCTTACTCATCTCCATCCGGCCAGAACCCTGTTCCTACACACATGCGTTCCGTCAGTGGAACGCATGCGTTTCATTGCGCATATAAACCACGTGACGAGGAAGTAATTCTATGCCGCGCGTCACGTGATTTCTATTCACAATCAATATCTATATCTCGTTTTTACAAAATATATATATAATCATTATGTATATGTATATACAAGTTATTGTTACCACTGTCACTCTGTTTTTGATTTGTATTTTAAAATTCAGTTTGATGATGTCATTTTGGCGGGAATATTCAAATTCCAGTACATTTAACAAACCCTATATAAAGCATTGTTAGTCAGGTTACTGTTTTTACTATATTCTACTTGAAGAAGCCTGTTGTGGGCGAAACGCTTTGTAATATTATTGTAATAATAAAGGAATTTTGGCCTCAAATATTTTATTGCCACATTCCTGTTTTTAACCTTTTTTATCCCTATACCTGACTAACTTGAACCAACACGAATTTACGGAAATATCCCTAGGTGGGGATTATGCCACCCATACGCTTAATATTGAGCCGAGAGGATTGCTCAATACATCGTGAGTACATTTCATATCATTTTTTTATTCTAATTTTAATATACAGTGAGCACTATATATTTCATTTGTTTTCATTTTTGGTCGGAATTCCTGGTGGACCATCTATCCTACAAGTTACGGCTCCATATATCCTTGAGTGGGGATCATTCCACTTCACGCACTTCATACCAGAGCTGGATTTTAGCTCTGGAAATTGTGAGTAATTCCATCTTATTTCATATATATCCATCTATACCTATATAATGTATCATTGGTTGTCCTTTCTATTTTTTCCACATATGGCTCACTGAAAAACACAAGTCATCATCTGGGATGAAACAATATCGTGCTACAAAGAATATACCCTATATACCTGTGGACTATTACCTTGGACTTTTTTATTCTCATTTTTATTTGTATTTTTATCATACTTTTTAGTGACATATTGATGTATTTTTATTAAAGGCGCACCCTATTTCCTTTGTTCTTTCCATTTCTTATTAAGCTATAGGGGATAGGAGGGCAACCCCTTTTAAGGTGTGCTGCCTTTTTACTATTTTATATATTATCTGTGCCATTACTTGCGCTGATCCTACTCTGATTATTTTCTTTTATTAATAGTTAAATACTTCATAATCAGTCCTTGCCCTGATGTAGTGGTGAAGGTTTGTGCCTCTTACCCTTCCAGACCTTCATCAGTGTTTCCTCACGTTGTTGTGTGCAATTCACCTTGATTGAGATTGCAGGTATGCAGGTATATTGCATGAAATCTACATGCTCAACCTCAGTAAGAATGATCTATTTAGTGTGGAATTATAGCGGTAGGGACATCACAGGTGGACACGAGTTCCTTTTTGCAGTAAAGTTATGAGTGTAAAAATAAATTTTAAAAATAGTAAAATCAAGAAGATTCTATAACCTTTTTAACGGCAACCCATATTATTTTGCTTTTCATTTTCTTTCTTTAATTCTGTAGAGTTTGACATGTTGCTCATTTGAGAAAATTAAATCCTGCCTTATGAATTTGTTACGTATTATATGACTATTGGCAAACACTGTATATCAGAGGACTCGGGGGTTGTTACTGCACTCTGAGATTTAAACATCCTCTATTCTAATTGAAAATATTTAAGTGCTTCTATACAGAGCAGCAATGTGTGTATTTTCATTGATGATTTCTTTATACCGCGGGCTCAGTGCCCAAAAAAAAAAAATCCTCAACGCTACATTTGGAACGGTGGAACCTAATTATATTTTGCAAAGTTTTATAACTCAAATGACAGATGTGGAAAAATGCAATTACCTCTTTGTTGTCATTTAGAATAAGACAATATGCAAACATGTAATTCACACTGTGGCAGAGGGTGAGGAAACTCAGACATGAATTTGTTTTGTTTAAGACTGGCAACTCCGTCTTCAAAGAGACAGAGAAATCATTGTTTATGGCCTAACACAAATTAACTGAATCCAGGTTACCATAATCTAATACAACATTCTAATTAAGAAATCAGAAACTGTTTAAAGTTTCCCTCCTTGCTTACTTATGGCCTTTTGCTAGGTGGAGAAAAAACCTCAGACCACTTGATTCTTGTTGTTGTATATTTAACACATTCTATTATCTTTTCATAGTGTACTTTTGTACTTCCATCCTCAATATTTTGCTATGTGTCTGGATACACCAGGATTCTAGCACACATGGGTACCTACCAGCATTTCACTGGAAAATATGGAAAATCAACACAGGAACTTTAGCAGTGGAAGCAGTTGCATACGGGCAAGTAGGTGTCATACTTTAGCAGTGGAAGCAGGTGCTGTATTGGTTATGGGCAATGATAAATGTTCTATTATTGTGTTCCCATTCATGTGCAATAACTTATGATACCTATAGGGGGTGTAGTGAGCTATGTGACATTAAGAGCAAGAAGATGGCTGCTGCATATTTAATGAGACATGTGCTTTAGGGAGGAAGTGACCTATAGGTGGCCTAGTGAGCACTGTGACGTCGAGTGAATAAAGATGGCTGCCGCATAGTCAATGAGACATGTGCTTTAGGAAGGTATTGAGAATTCTTAAGTCACTTCCTTTCACAAAGGACCACATGTAGTATCCGCCTCCTAGAGATGACCATTAGGTATTGGTTATGTTACCTCTGTGGGTGGATACTAGATGGGAGGTTATTCAAGGGGTTTCCAGAAACTAGAGTTTCAGTTTCATGACTGGGTCGGAAGAAGCCAGGTGTCTTTAGAGGTGCCCATGTAAATCCATTTAACATGTGGCAAGGAACTCACCTCATTGTTCTGTGTGTTATGCTGATTCAATTATCCTGTGTAAGCTGCTGAATCTCCATGAATAGAGCTAAGTAGATTTCTTACCTGAATGTATTGTTTATAGCAGTGTATGTTTTTAAAGTATTTGTTTTTTGTGTGCTTGATAATTGTATTCCCAGTAAAGTTTTGTTTATACTTTCATCAAAACTTTGCCTCTTGTCTGTTCATTCAAGATATTCACTAATATTTATGTGATTGACCAGTATACCTTTTATTATTTTATTTGTGGTATTATTTCATATTTATGAAATGCAGAACTTCATAAATATAAAGAAATTACTTAATTTACCATTACAACTGGCACTGTGAACAGGATACTGCACAATCACTAAATATAGAATATTTGAATGTGTATATAGATTGAATAAGCCTATAGCACAGTCACGTTGCACAGTGAAAAGAGATATAGTTAACAAGCATTGTCTTTGATTGGTATATTTGCATTTTTGTGTTCCCCCTGAGAGTAAAGATGCTTACTCTGTTTAAAAAAAAGTAATAGAGCAGGAGGGAAGGAGGCGTCTAAGTATGGGACAATTCCATTGTGGGCCAGTTTAGAAAACTGGAAACCCATTGCTGAGGAGTTGATCAAGTATGCAGCTCCTGTCTATCCTGATGCTGGTACTGAACTTGGTGCTCAAGCATTACGGTTAGACCTGGGAGTATACTCCAAAAAAGTGCGGAAAGCCGCTGCCACCACAGGGTGGATAGTTGTGCAGGCCTTTAGCCGCGAGGTGCAGAGAAATAAATCGCTCGAGAAAGAGTTGCAGGATGTAAAAGATTTATTAGTTATGACTAAAGAATGTATGCGTAGTAATGCATGCCAGGTGGCTGCCCTAGAAGAAAAATGTACTACTTTAGTGGTAAGCAAGATTAACCGCAGGAGGTCACAGAAAGGAAAAAAGCCAGTGCCTGTAAGTAAAGTGCGAGCAATGGTTGCAAACCCCATATGGGATCCTGAAGCACCGCTACAGTCATCTGATGATGAGTATGTATCCTTTTCTGATGATGATAATGATGTGGACAGGTGACAAGCCCGTCCTATCATTACACAGCAGCGGAAGAGGACACTACAAGATAGAGCGCGTGGTTTGAGAAATGGTGTACATGAAGAGATGAATGAAGTGGTAAAAAGTTACACACAAACAGAGCTCATGGAGCTGGCAAAGGTGTATAAGCATGAAGTTGGTGAAAATGTGGAAGAATGGTTATTGCGCATGTGGGATGGAGGAGCTGACAGTGTGCAGTTGAATGCAAGGGAAGCATTATGTATGGGGCAGCTGACGCTGCATCCACAGCTCATGCAGGTATTACGGAGGGTGAGGGAGATTGGAGGTAATTTTTCATTATTTGATATGGTGCGGCATGCCATAATTGTGGCCTTCCCATCAGAGCAATGAAGAATGAGACACCCTGGTCAAAAAGGGATGGAATAGAGAGATGGGGAGGGGGAGAGAACAGAGAGGGAAGAATGAGACACAGGGGGAATAGAGAGATGGGGAGGGGGAGACAGAGAGGGAAGAATGAGACACGTTTTCAAAGAGGGGGAATAGAGAGATGGGGAGGGGGAGAAAGAGACAGAGAGGGAAGAATGAGACACGGGCCAGAGAGATGGGGAGACAGAGAGGGAAGAATGAGACAATAAAGAAAGAGGGGGAATAGAGAGATGGGGAGGGGGGAGAAAGAGAGGGAAGAATGCCCCCCCTCCCCTGTCAAAGTCTCACCGTGCGGGCAGGGGAGGAAGAGACTCCCTGGGAGCTCACCCTGCAGCTCCTCTGGGTCCTTCTTGCGCGAGCACAGAGCGTTGCCGCGGTTACCATGGCAACGTTACTGCTCTTGCGAGAGTCAACTCTAGCCCTGGAGCTACGGGCCACAACACTGTATGGATTCCTCGCACTCTAGTTTACACATTCACAGAACACACCATATTGTGCTATACACACAGGATACTAACATTGCCACTCTGCCCACACACCCTACACATTCACATGAACCTAGTGAGAAACAAGCACTGCCAGAGAGTGATGGTAAAGTCAGATCCTTGTATCCTGTAAAAGATCTGATGACACATGATTTGATGGATTGGGACAGTGCTGTTGTACAATGACAGAATGGTGGGCCTCCGGCGGTACATGTGTCCCCTTTAACCGCCAACCCACAGACGCCCTTATGTACCTTTGACTGTGTGGTGGGGGACAAGACCAGGACCAACAAAGATTTTAGCTTTAGTTGACACAGGAGCAGAAGTCACAGTACTGCATGGTAATCCATCAAGGCTATCAGGACCCTGTGTGAGAATAGAAGGTTTAGGAGGTAGAATTACTAAAGCAGTACAAACTGTTGTGGCTATGTCAATTAACAAAGGACCAAGATTCAGTGCTAAAGTTTTGATTTCAGAATTGCCAGACAATATCTTGGGAATAGATGTGTTACTAGGGCAGAGTATTGAGACACAGTGGGGGGTGTTCACGTTTGGATTTCCTCATAAGCCATACTATCTCAGACCAGTAAAAGACATTGTGCGAGGGAATGCAAATTGGACACCTGTCATTGTTCCTCCTCCATGCAACCCGGTAAGACTGAAGCAATACCGTTTGCCCGGAGGATGTCGAGAAATTAGTGAAACTATCGACAAGCTTTTACAGTCAGGTGTAATTCGTCCAGCTGTCAGTCCGTTCAATGCTCCAGTATTCCCTGTAAAGAAGATGGATGGCTCATGGCGAATGACGGTGGATTACCGGGGACTCAACAAGGTAGCACCACCATTGAGTGCTGCTGTCCCTGATATTATCACCATTGTGGGAAACATTGCCAAACAGGCCGGGGAGTGGCATGCGGTAATAGATTTAGCTAATGCGTTCTTTTCAATTCCTGCTGCACCTGATGTCGCAAGATCAATTTGCTTTCACTTGGGAAGGACGCCAATATACCTTCCAAGTTTTGCCCCAGGGATATATACACTCACCTACGATTTGCCATGGACTAGTTGCACTGGATTTAAGCCACCTCACTCTACATCTTCCAGTGTTTCACTACATTGATGACATCATGATCTCGGGATCTAAAGAGGAAGTGAAAGAAGCATTACCTGTTCTAGTGAATTACATGACTGGACGGGGATGGGCAATAAATAAAGACAAAATTCAAGGTCCAACCCAAGAAGTTAAATTCCTAGGAATGATGTGGTCTGGGCCTGTTCGGAAGATACCTCAGCCTGTGCTGGATACAATCCAGAATTCTCCAGAACCTAAGACGTTAACAGAAGCCCAAAAGTTTTTAGGTGCAGTTGGTTACTGGAGAGCATTTATACCGCATCTAGGATTGCTGCTACGCCCCATATACAATGTTACAAGAAAGAAATCAGCATTTGTATGGGGAATTGATCAAGCTACAGCATTCCAAGCAGCAAAGGAAGCAGTATTACAGCATCAGGGCTTGGGCCCGATTCAAATTGGAGCTCCGTTCATATTGGATGTGATGGTGAACGACAACGTAGCATCATGGGGACTATGGCAACCGAGCGAAGACAAAGGCAAGCGGGCAGTACCAATTGGGTTTTGGTCCAAGCAATTGACTGGGGCTCAGCAAAGGTACACACCTTTGGAGAAGAATCTTCTGGCAGCATACCTCGCACTGCAGCATGTGGAGACAATGACTGAGAAAAGCATAGTATCAGTGAAAACAGATTTACCAATAGCAGGATGGGTACGAGATGAAGGATTATCTGCAAAGACAACAGTGGCACAAAGTCAGACATTATTAAAATGGAAGTGGTACCTGCAGGAAAGAGGAGGGATCCAAGCAGGTGAAGTGAAGGAACTGACCAAACTCCTTACTGGGTTAGTGACATATGATACACTTTCACATCCCAATGTACAAGAAGTCCCAATTTTACAGCCCTCACCCATCAAGACAGCTCCTTCATTCAGAGAACTGGGTGAAGAACAAAAGAAAAATGCATGGTTCACAGATGGGTCTGCAACCATGACCCACAAAGGACGACATTGGACTGCAGTAGCTTACAACCCTCAGCAACAAATTGTGATTCAAGAGAAGGGAATAGGAGGATCTAGTCAATATGCTGAATTGACTGCCATAGTCATACTGATGGAAGAAACCACAGATCCAGAGCTCTACATCTATACAGATAGCTGGGCTGTGTACAAGGCTTGTGTTACATGGATGCCTACATGGAGAAACAACAGGTGGCAAATACATGGCAAGACAGTATGGGGAGGAGAAGATTTATGGGAAAATATATGGAAAACAGCCCAATCAAGATTAATACACCTCGGACATGTTAATGCCCATGTGAAAGACAGTACTGGAGAAGAGAACCCGAATAAGATAGCCGATGAATTGACCCGAATACGAGAAGCAAAAATAACACCAGAACCTGTTGATCCAGTATTACTTAGGATGGCAGACTGGGCCCATGAGACCGCGGGTCATAGAGGAAAAGCAGCTACGCTAGAGTGGGCGCGAGCCCGAGGACTACCAATAACTCTCCAGATGATTGTCCAAGCTCAAGAAGTATGCGAGACCTGCAATGAGGTTAAGAAATGGCCCCTCACGAAGCAAGCCCGTGGACATTTAAATAAAGGAACAATAGCAGGACAGATCTGGCAGATGGACTACATTGGTCCCATGCCTAAAGGAAGAGGGGGGCTGATGTATTGTTGTACTGCTGTAGACACCTTTTCCGGAATTCTGAAAGTATTACCCTGCAAACATGCGAACCAGGCCTCAACACTTCAGATGCTACAGACTCTTGTGATTGCTTATGGACTGCCATCTGAGATTCAGACAGACAATGGAACCCACTTCACTGGACAGCTCGTACAGCAGTGGGCAAATGACTCAGGGATTAAGTGGATCTTCCACATCCCCTATCATCCTCAAGCTTCGGGGTTGATTGAAAGGTGCAATGGGCTTTTAAAAGAACAGATTCGGAAGCTATCCCCAAGTAGGACATTGAGGGGGTGGGACCGGGTGATCACGCAGGCAGTTATGATACTAAATAGTAGACCAATAGGACAGTTTTCACCTTATGAAAGATTGACTGGACAGGTAGGGACACCAACTGTGTCAGTTCGATTAAGGTTCAAGGGATCTTTCCCCCAACAGGTGGGGAAGAACAAATTTAAAGTGGTCAGCCAGAACCTAGTTGAGATTGTACAGGGTGATGAATGGATGACATACATCCTTCCCATGGGTGGGATATTACCAGAAGGGACTGAAGTGACCTTTGCCCTAACAGAGGAGCTAAGAGATGATAAATGGTTGACCACAGGGATGGTAAATGTGTTATCAGATTTGTGGGAAATCCCATTGACCAGGGGGTGTCCAGGCCAGATTTTCTCACACACTGTATTAGGCGTGGTATCCATTTGGATCCCACGGAAAGTATTAGTGACATGGGAGGAAAGCAATACCTTACAGACAGGTTCCAAAGTATGGGTGCTACCACGAGCAGGTGAGCAGGTCAAACAGAAGGGAGAAATACTGTCCAATGGACCTGGTGACACTAAAGTTGTATTACTAAGTGGAGGTACTCACCCTGTTTTCTTTCCTTCCAACAGATTGGTGGCTATATAGACAAGTCGGATCCCTGGTCCTCCAACTCATACCTGAATCTATTAGCAAGTTATTCGAGAGTGTCAAACAGCACGGATTGCTGGATTTGTGGGACCATATCATTCAGCGAGGAGAGCAGTTACCCATATGTTGGTGTTCCATGGACATTGGAGGAGTTAAAACAATATAATAATACAGGATTCGGCTGGTACCGAGAAGAAGGAAAGCCACAATCATTGGACAGATTGCATATTATAAACCGCCCCCAGGAAGGTGCTATTTGTATCAGTTCACATAACAATGGAGCCAATGCCACTAAAATGGGATATTCTAACTGTACATCTGCCTGGGTAAAGGGCTATGGTAATGAACAACATTGGGCAATGACTGTCAAAGACTCCAGCCCAATGGTGAGAGTAATAAGTATGACCTCTCATGGTGCAATAAAAAGACTGAGCTTTCCCTTTATTTCTATACTCCTGGACACTTGTTTTAGTGGGGCCCCAGATAATAGTTACAGTGTCCTTCCCAGAGGTGTGTATTTTCTGTGTGGTAATTGGGCCCATAGATGGTTACCTACTCAATGGGAAGGAGAATGTTACATTGGATCAATCATCCCCGCCATAAGGCATAGAAATAGCTTTCCAGAAGGCATGATTAGAAATAAACGGTGGAGTTCATTTATCGGAGAACATGAAGCTAATTCTGGAATTGTATTTCCCGGCTGGGGAGTATATTGGTC